TATAAATGATGGATGTAATTAGTGACAACTCAGAAGATTTTACCATCAACACGATATTTAGTGAAATACCAACATATAAATGATGGATGTAATTAGTGACAACTCAGAAGATTTTACCATCAACACGATATTTAGTGAAATACCAACATACAGGTCACGAATGTAATTAGTGACAACTCAGAAGATTTTACCATCAACACGATATTTAGTGAAATACCAACATATAAATGATGGATGTAATTAGTGACAACTCAGAAGATTTTACCATCAACATGATATTTAGTGATTGTCCCTTAATATCCTACAGACATGACACTAATATTGTCAACTTTATGGTACATAATGTACTAACACTTTATAATTATACTCGGAACCCGAGTTGTGAACCAGCCTGATGAATATGTAAAGAGTACTTACTACCCAAGTACGATGATCCAAATTCATCATCCGCATAAGCCATTTTTACATCCTGTCTCACTTATTGTAACCTGTGAACAGCTGTGTGTAATAGAAACAAACCATCATCTCGGGGACAGATTCTGTTAACATCTTGGGGTCATAACAAGAACGCCATGACATAGCATCAATGATTTTAATCTCTGGAGAACGATTTGAAAACCGACTAATTTATAAATTATGAGTCCTCGCATAACTTGGTGTTTAGGGCGATCGACTCCTAATTTGCGGATTGTGGGATCGAAACCTATCACCGAACATGCTCACTCTTTCAACCTTGAAGGCATTATAATGTGACGATCAATCCAACTTATCGTTGGTAAAAGAGTAGTCCAAGAGTTGGCGGACGTTGGTTAGCTACCTTCCATCTCGTCTATGAATTCAAAATTAGGGACAGATAACCCAGGTGAAGCGTTCAGTTAAGCCATTTGAATGAAAAGTACCTAATTTATGTTTGTTGGTTGAACTTCGTGCAGCACGGAGGGGACAGTAGAGTATGCGTTTGTTAATATCATAGAAGTTACACAATCTTTAGTATTTGCATAGTTACACAATCTTTAGTATTTGCATAGTTACACAATATTTAGTATTTGCATAGTTACACAATCTTTAGTATTTGCATAGTTACACAATCTTTAGTGTTTCTTCGTCTCATATGTAGGAAGCGATTTTCGATAAGTTTTAACGAGCACTCGTCCGTTTTGTTAGACTGCTAGTGTTGTCATTACATGTACAAAGCTGGATGCTCAGCTCGTGGGACACAATTTTTTCAGTGTTGTGTTTGTCTACTTTTGTAATGAGCTCTCATTATTTGAGGCTTTGGCCGAAAACCGAGTGCAGTCGCTGCAAATTACCATTCATTGTGATAGCTCCATTGTTACGTTGACCTCTACATTTTTCAACTATTTCTGTTTGTTTAGGAACACCTGTTGACGAAAACAATTCCAGTTAAACTGTGTTCAACAGATTATCTACTCTCAGCTTCTAATTTCAGATCGATAGTCTCGTCATTTCTCCAGGTTGCTAAATGTGAACGCATCATTTTCTGTTCTTTAATTTTTGTGAAATGCTAATATTTTATTTCCAAAGCTTGCTGGTGAAGGGGATGCTTTCGATCTCCAAAGAGACATCATTTTTCCATCAGTGGGTCAGCGATATGTTTAAGGACTTACAACGCTAAAAATTCGCGGTTCGATTCCCCTCCCCCCTGGTATCCAGATATAACTTTGCATTAAAAGTACGTATTATCCAGTTTTAAAGACTAACACAACTACTTCTTTCGAACTTAATCTCAATACTTTGCTAATTTATACTAGAAGTAAATAAGGTAAATAAACAGTAAATAGATGCAAATACTAAAGATTGTGTAACTATGCAAACACTAAAGATTGTGTATCGATGCAAATACTAAAGATTGTGTAATTTGCATAGTTACAAAAGTTACTAAAGATTGTGTAACTATGC